GAAACTAGTCACCAAACATAATAGTTTTCATACTATAAAGCCCTAATTCCCAGTTATCAGAGAGAGTTTGTCATATCAAACAGCCCTGGCTGATAAGAACTGTGTATATAAATCTGAGGTCCTCATTCACTGATTTTTGATGTTAGTATGCGTAACTGTTAATACTGTTAGCAGAGCCCCTTGAATCTTGGGGGGCAGGAGGGGATGTCTTCAAGATGTCTTTGTTTTTTCGATTGTATTGTTGTAGATGTAGCACTATGACTTTGTGGTGCTTTGCAGTGTGCAAAATATGTTAAATAGGGATCAGCTGTTGCTCAGAAGAAAAAATTTAAATATATTAATGCAAATGATTTCATTTTTAGTGGTGATAGTAGTTATATAGAGACCCCGATCCTTGGGTGCGTCAGAGCTCTGCTTGGTGCACCTGGTAAGGGGTGGAGCCTTAAAACCATCTTTATGCTCCCCTGATCCTCAAGACATATCCAGGGACAGCTTCAGACCCTGCACAAGTCAGAGCAGTCTCGGGAGCCATTATGTGAGTTGGGATCATTGCAACACAGTGCTCTTCAGCCACGGCCTCTGGGGGCTCTCAGAGGGTGGCATAGATCTGGCTATGCTGCCTTTCCCCACCCTCGGTAGCTGTGATCTGGCCCAGACTCTCTAGTGTACCCGCTTTAGAGTAATTATTTCGTTGTTCTGAAAAATGTCTAATGCCAAGTTGTCCTTCCCTCAACTTTCATCCTACAAGAACTGCCATTTGTAGTCTACTGGCAGACACTGTAGATCTGCGGTATATTGAAAGAAATGCATACTGTTTGTGTGCTGAACTCCGTGTTCTTAAATCAGTTGCACAACTGCTAGTTGTTATTCAGTGCAAAAGTTCTGAATACGCTGCCTGGTCTGTCTGAAATATCAGAAACATTCTACCAGGAGAAAGGACATCTTGGTTTTAAAATTTATTACAATTTTTTGGTAAGTGTATTTGTAATATTCTTCTTGATATTCTAAGAAATGTAAATAGTTAAATAATGCTTAGTTTCCTTAAAGAAATAGATTTCTATTGACAGTTTTGTCGCTGTCTCTGGCTTGGCAAACTAATTTGACCCTCTATGAACAAAGTCGTAGTTCCTTGGTTTGATAAGGAAAAATGTGGAATCCACTTAAATTTAATAGACTATACAGTATGCTAATCAGTTGTTTAAAAGAATCAAGTCAAATCACTGTGTCATTAGTATTTTAACATCATACGAGGATTGATGATTAAATATGTATCAAGATGAAATAACTGTGAGACGCATAAATTAATAATTAAAGGGTGTGCTTAAAGTAGGGGGGTGAATCGCAAGGCATTGAGCCAGCTTACATAAGGGGGCATGCTCTAAAGCACTCTTACCAACGCTGCTATTCCCAGGTTGCCAACTTTCTAATTTCACAAAACCAAACACCCTTGGCCCGCCCCTTCCCTGAGGACCCACCACTGCCCTGCCCCTTCTCCAAGGCCCCCACTCACTTCATCCCCACCTCCCTCCGTCGCTCGCTCTCCCCCACCCTCACTCACTTTCACCAGGCTGGGGCAGGGGGTTGGGGTGTGGATGGGGGGTGCGGGCCCTGGGGTGGGGCTAGAAATGGAGGGGGCTCTGGGCTGGGGCAGGTGGATGTGGGAGGGTTCAAGGTGCGGGCTCCAGCCAGGCGATGCTTACTTCAGGCGGCTCCTAGAAGCCACTGGCATGTCTGGCTCCTATGCAGAGGGGCCAGGGTGCTCTGCCCACAGGCGCCGCCCCTGCGGCTTCCATTGGCTGCGGTTCCTGGCCAATAGGAGCTGCGGATCAGGCGCTTGGGGCTGGGGCAGCGTGCAGAGCCCTCTGGCTGCCCCTGTGCCTAGAAGCTGGACATGCTCGCCACTTCCGGGAGGTGTGCGGAGCCAGGGCAGGCAGGGATCCTGCCTTAGCAACGCTCCGTTGCCGACTGGACTTTTAGCAACCCGGTCAGCAGTGCTGACCGAAGCTGCCAGGATCCCTTTTCGACCAGGTGTTCCGGTTGAAAACTGGATGCCTGGCAACCCTAGGTCAGATAGCTATTTGTTCATTAAAATTTCACTCTCAAACTGAGAATTGACAAGGGTTTTAGTTTTACTGGCTAAGAAAATCCTCATGTTTTGATTTCTCTGTATAACAATTCTTAAATATCCACTTCAGTCAAAGTTTAAAATACAATTAAAGGTAAAGACAAGCTAGAAAAATATCAAGACTACAGCATAACTAGGGTTGCCAGGTGTCTGGTTTTTGACTGAAACATCCGGTTGAAAGGGACCTTGGTGACTGAGCCGTTAAGAGTCTGGTTGGCAGAGCAGCAGGGCGAAGGCTGGCTCCCTGCCTGGCTCCGTGCAGCTCCTTGGAAGCAGCAATATGTCCCTTGGCTCCTAGGCAGAGGCTCAGCCAGGGGGCTCCGTGTACTTCCTCCCGCCCCGAGCGTTGGCTCTGCAGCTCTCATTGGCTGCAATTCCCAGCCAATGGGAGTTGTGGGGGTGGCGCACACCACGCAGAGCTGCCTGGCTGTGCCTTCACCTTGGAGCCCAGGGACATGTCGCCGCTTCTGGGAAGCTGCCTGAAGTAAGCGCATCCCGGAGCCTGCACCTCTCACCCCCTTCCTGTTCCCCAGCCCTTAGCCCCCTTCCGCACCCAAACTCCCTCCCAGAGCCTGCACCCCAACCCACTGTCCCAGCTCTGAGCCCCCTCCCACTCCCAATCTCCCTCCTGGAGCCCGCACCCTCTCCTGTGCCCCAACCCCTTGTCCCAGCCTGGAGCCGCATCCTGCACCCCAAACCCCTCATCCCTGGCCCCACCACAGAGCCCACACTCGCAGCTGGAGCCCACACCCCAACCTCCTGCCCCAGCCCAGAGCCCCCTCCTGCACCCTGAACTCCTCATTTCTGGCCCTATCCTGGAACCCGCACCCCCAGCCGGAGCCTTCACCCACTCCTGCATCCCAATGCCCTGCCCCAGCCCAGTGAAAATGAGCAAGTGAGTGAGAGTGAGCGACAGAGGGAGGGAGGCTGGAGTGAGCGGGGGTGGGGTCTCGGGGAAGGGGCAGCACAGGGGCGGAGCCTTGGGTAAGGGTTGGGGCAAGGGTGTTTGTGCGACTAGAAAGTTGGCAACCCTAAGCATAATACAAGCAACATTATTAGTGTTGCTTGCCAGCCCATGATTCAATTATGAGACTTGTAATATTTGGTGTTTTTGTTGAAGCCCCTGTACCTGTAATCCTGTGATTACATGAGAATTCAAATTCATTTTGTCAAGTTTTTCTCCACCGACTTTTTAAAAATATGACTAAAGTGCCCCCTGAAGGCTCAAAACCCAAAATTAAATTAAAAGAGCGGAAAGTGTGTGTGTGTGTGTGTGTATATATATATATATATATATATATAATATATATATATATATTTTTTTCTCCTAATCTCATGACTTTTTGGGTCCTGGCTCAAGATATTTGAACACGTGGGGTTGGCAGTTCTGCAATGTATAAACTTTTTGTCCTTACTCCAGTCCTTATTTAATTACAATGAAAAAAAATATACCTGATACACAATGTACAGTGTACTCCCCAAACTACTCAGCAAAACACCAGAACTATTACTTAGTGTGAAATCTGGACAAGTTCTTGTTAATAAGATTAACATTTAAATGGCTCTTTTCAGGCTCTGAGTAAGACACGTTCCCTTCCCCAGTGAGTTGCAATGTAAAGGCAAATAAAGGACAAGACCTCTGGGCCTTATTTGCATTAGGAAAAATGAGGCCAGTAATTCACCACCTGTGGTAGAAATGGTAGAAACTGTAGCACAGGCAAAACAGTGGCGGTGTATTCTGACACTGTAGTAGTAAAATGCCTGAGCCCTATCCAAGCTGAAGCTTCCGTTGTTGCTCCTTCTAATAGATGTATGGGTCACATTTTCACCAGTGTAGACAAGACCCAAGAGGAGATGATTTGAGGGAATGACTTTGAGGAAAGTGAGCGCTAAGTGGAGGAGGAGGAGAGGAAGATTGTTCCAGATGTTGGGGCCACATAACCTCTACAATTCTCACCATTCAACTGTTAACTGTAAACATATAAGCCAGTGTAAAAATACTCCAATCCAACAGTACTATGGCTTGGTTCATTTTAACTGTTCAGGGTAGTCACCAAAGAGCAAACTCATGGAGGTAGTGGTTTTTCATTAATTTCAGAACGCAGTTTCTGGATGATGTGACCACAATATGTGCATAACTTAAATATATCTGTTAGCCTGCAGGCTGATGTAATTCCAGTAGCGAACTGAAGAAATTAAGTTTGTTTGCATTTCTGTACAGGTATCTGATAGGCTCAATAAAACGCTTCAAATGGATTAGCCTCTGTCAGAGCTGCAAAACTGCTCGCAACATTTTTTCCTCCTTGCCTCACTGCTTCACACTCCAAATCTCTCTTCTATTTTGACTTCACTTTAGTTGATAGTATATTTGCATGCAATAAACATTAACATAATATGTGAGATCTGTGCTGTCATCTTAATGTAAACCATAGAAGAGTATAACGATTGCTAGTCACAATGCATCCTCTGTTGTATTGGAAATGTTGAGTTCTATATGAACTGAATATATTATGGAGTATGTGATAGGTCTGGTTTACACATGGCTTTCTGCAGTTCAGTCAGACTCTCCTTGAAGTGTTTTCATGCTCAATAGGAATTAAAGTAAAAAAAAATGTAGACTCCTATTTTCCTTAACCTGAGAGGACAGCTTGATTTACATATTTATGAAAAATATTTCTCAGATACATGCTGTGCAATTCTACATTTCATTTACAGTTTGATATTTTGATTATAAAATTGTTATTCAGGCCAGTCTGTTCTTTCCTGTTACTACAGGAAACATTTTTTTCTCTCTCTTTTTATTCAAGGAGTTAATTATTTTATGTTCATTGAAATGCATGACATAATGATTTCTTTCTTTTTCTTTTTTTTATAGCCTTAAAGAAAGAAGATAGCAGCCTTGATGAGGTAGGTTAAATATCTTTGTACCTTACTTAATCCAGATAGGTTTAATTGCTACAGATTTCTCACTAAAGTTAAAAATAACTTTTGCTTTATCATATTAGTGTGCGTATGTGTACATGCATATAATCTGAGTATCTTTTCACCTCCCTAATGACTACCAGATGAGTTTTTTTACAGAAGGCCTTGGGCTGAATGCTTGTTTCTATAAACCTATTTTATACAAAGTATTGCATTATGTTATGTAGAGAGAAAATGCTTTACAGAACTGAACCGTTAGTGGTTTTTATTATAAACAGTAAATATATATTTCTATAAAAGATATAATCTGAATATCTTTTGAGGGAACCCGTCATACAGGACATGGTCCTGTTGGGTCCTTGTATTGGCTGAATAAATAGTATGCTCCGGTTAGACCTGAAGCTATGATTAATCCTGCTTTAGGAAGCTATTTACAAATCAGTTTTTGTACAAGTGGCGGCACCAACACAGTAGAGCCAAAGTTAAATTGTGTAGGGCACAAAACATACAATATGATTTAAGACTCTGAATTTGCAAGACCAGTGCAGACATGTGGTGATTGGTGATGCTTTGCTTGTGGTGGAAATGGGGTTCAGACAGCGTGTTATCCTGGAGCACAGGATTTATTAGTGTGAGAAATTGCCGGTAATGTAATCTGTGATTATGCAAATCCCAAGTCATTTCCTTCTAACCACCTAAATGGAAGTAAATAGCAGCATCTCTTACTTTCCATGAAATAACCTTACAGTTTCTGGCTATTTCTGTATTCTATTCAGAGAGTAAGGACTTGGATAATAATGACCTTGCTACTGCATAGGTAGTGGTTATGTTTTTGGTTTGAACTGAAGGTATCACACTATACAATGGCCTGATCCTGAAAGAAATGAGCGAGGAAGCAGTAGGTGCTTGCCACTTCATTGGTTCAGACTTTATCTCCTCCTAAATCAGATAGGGCCAAACATAAGTGCTGGAACTAGGAGTGCGGGGAGTAGGGTACTGGGCTGGGTATCTGCCACACCTGCCTGGAAGTGGTTTCCGTCATATACAGGGTTTACAGTTTGGTTCAATGGATCTCAGCACTATACAAATTGTTCCAGCAGCCCTGGGGCCAAATTTGTTTTGTCCAGTTTGTTCAGGCTTTGTACCCATGAATAAGAGTCTTAAATAGCTCTGAAGTAGAGGCAATGTAGGCAGGTCAAGCTTTGTTAGAACACTAAAGGAATCTCTAGCTTAGAGCCAAGGCTAAGATATGATAGTCTTTAGAACATGGCTCTGGCACAGGTGGGTCCCATCCACAACAGCTGTCCAGTTAGTGTTAGAACGTGGATCACCTGTAAGTGAATTGCAGCTGTTTGCTGGTAAGTATGGTGGTTAAACTTGGGCTGTATCTATACAAGCTAGGGGTGTGATTCCCAGCTTGTGTAGACGTACTCTCACTAGCTCTCATCTGAGCTAGCAAAGCGAAACATACTAGCCTAGCTAAGGTAGCGTGGGCAGCAGTGATATGTGCTAACTGCCCTGTGCACAGACCTACCTGAACCTCTGGTTATGTACCTGGGGCTGCTAGCACATGTCACTGCTGCCCATGCTACTGCAGCTCCAGTACTGTTCTAAGGCCCGGCCTACGGGGGGGCGGTGGGGTTTGCTCTAAGTTACGCAACTTCACGTAGCTGAAGTCGACGTACTTAGATCTACTCACCGCAGTGTCTTCACTTCTCTAGATGCAATAAATCGACCCTTGTCAATATTAGACGCGATAAATTGACCCCTGCTGGATCGATCGCTGCCCGCCAATCCAGTGGGTAGTTTAGACATACCCTTAGTGTGTTAGCTCAGATGAGAGCAAGTGCAAGAATGTCTGTACAAGTTGGGAATCATTTCCCTAGCTTGTAGCATGGACATAGCCTGAGTCCTTCGGTTGTATTAGAAATCTGGCACATTTTGCTGCTTTGCTTCTGGTCTCTGTAGGAGGCTGAATTGTTTATAATAAAACTGACAGGATGTTCTTGTTGTTTTTAAATGCAATCCACGTAATAAAGAAGAACATGCTTTATTAATAACTTGCCTTAAACTAGATCTTGAATTTGGAAGGAATAAAATCCACCTGTTAAGTATGAAGCACTTTCAAAGCTTAAAGGAAAGCAAATTGCACATACCACCTGTGGAGGAGGCCTCATATACAGCTTGACAGTGTTTCTTATGTGTTTGGGTTTCCATTTGTACAAATGGGACTGTTTCTGCACATGCTCCGGGTGAATTCAGTGTGTATGTGGCAAGAGTAATATATTTTTTAAAAGAAGTCTTTAAGGGAGTCTGGCTGATCAGTATAGATACTCCCTGACTTATACAAGCGTTCCGTTCCGGAACGCCTTGCCTAACTCAAATTTTGCGTAAGTCGGGAACGTATCTCTGACAATTACACTTTTAAAAAATAAACAAACAAAAAAACCTTTCTAGCTTAAGGAATTTAGGGAACTTTTTCCATAAATGCGGATTTGCGTAAATCGGGTTCGCGTCACCCGGGAAGCATCTGTATATGGATTGCTGCAGTGTTAGCAAGAGAAGGCTCATGGGGAGGAAAATAAATGAGAATCTTTTCTTTTGTCCCCAATACACACAGAAGAGATAGGTGTGACATAATTGTCAATACCTGTCCCCTCCTTATTTTTGGGTGACATTTTGCAAAAGAAAAGTGTGTGTATGTAGGTAATCATAGGACTGGAAGGTATCTTGAGAGGTCATCTAGTCCAGTCCCCTGCACTCATGGCAGGACTGTGTGTTATCTAGACCATCCCTGACAGATGTTTATCTAACCTGCTCTTGAAAATCTTCAGTGATGGAGATTCCACAACCTCCCTAGGCAATTTATTCCAGTGCTTAACCACCCTGACAGGAAGTTTTTCCTAATGTCCAACCTAAACTGCTCTTGCTGCAATTTAAGCCCATTGCTGCTTGTTTTATTCTTAGAGGTTATGAGAACAATTTTTCTCCCTCCTGCTTGTAACAACTTTTTATGTACTTGAAAACCAGTCATCAGTTCTTGGTCTGTATTAACAGTTAATGACAGCAAAAAGTTTAAGTAATCCCCTTCAGGCTCAACACAACAGCTTCTATCAATTACCTATCCTAAAATATAAATAAAAAGAAGGTATGTGGCACAGCCTAACGTAATTCCTCTTTTTGCTAACAACTTTCACTAAGGAGGTTAAAACAATTGTATTTCTGCATTTCAATTATGTTTGGGTATTTTGCTATATTTTTGAGATAGTGAAAGGCATACGTGAGTATTGGAGCTCTTTTAGTAGGTATAGTCATCCAAGCTTCTTGATCTTGAAATAATCCCGCCAATGGAAGGAAATATAGACAGCAGTCTACTTTACTTCACTGTTGTTGGGGTTTTTTTTGCTCTATATAGTGGAATATTGATTTTTACACATGAACAATGTTTTGTTGGTATAAAGTAGGTTAGTCTTGTGACCTTGTGCACCAGAATGAGTGTCTAGAGGTTGAGTTTGAAGAGTGAAAAGGGATGTAGTGTAAGAGCAGATCTGCAGCAAATGGAGAGGAAGATGAATTTGACTGCAGTATATGGAAAAAGTAATGGTAGAATGGTAATGAGGAAAACTATATAATTTCACAAAATATAGTGAAATAGGATTTTTTTTAAAGTGACTTTTGATATAAGGAGCTGCCAAGGTTCCCTGGAAGAGAAGTGTTCTGATTGCATGGGGTATCTTTGTCCTTCCGGAGGGCAGCGTTTGGCTTATGGAAGCAGAAGCATCCCCATGCTCTCACTCTTAAGGAGGTGTGTGTGTGTGTGGGGGGGGTATACTAACATACAAGTTATCTGTTTCTTCACTCCCGGGTTGGAGAGTATCTCTTTGTAGAATCTAGGAATAGGGAACACCTGCTTAAATGTGATTAATTGCCAATGAGCCCTCTGCACCTGGGACCTAGGAAAGAGTGGGATTTGTGTGTCTTGGGAAGAACTTGTGGTATGAAAAGTTTGTCAGCTTTTGCCATCTTAGGTAGGCTGGGCATATTTGGAAGACTGAAATTTATACAAGATTTGGCTTGGTTTTGCCTGATTATTTCATGCAAGTTCAGCGAGGTTTAGATGATAGTGACATGTGGTGGTTGTTCTGTTGAGCCTACATACTTGAGCAATGCCCAGTAAGGTGGTTAGAATAAGCATTGTAAGTGTAATATTTTCCTGGCCTGAAAACTTGGTAAATGACCATAGACACAAGATAGGGACCCTTTGGAGCGGAGCTGGAGCAGCTCCAAAGCCCTGGATAGGGTTGCAGTTAGATCTGTATCAAACCCACCTTTCTAAACATAGATGAAGAATCTCATTCTGAAGGCCTGATTTTGTGTTGTCTCAGCTGAAGGTTGCTGAATCTGGGCCTATAGGATAATAGGTCATAAGAGAGGAGGATCGTCCCAAACTGGTCTGACTGACACACACACACACACACACACACACACAACAAAATGAGGGGAGAAAATGGTCTTAGGCAGGTTAAAACACAAGTAGGAAACAAGCAGCTTGGAATAATGCAAAATAATGCATCTGGGGGAAAACATTATATGCACTTGCTTTAGAAACGAGAAGCCTGGTAATAGTGAGAGAGACTGATCAAAGATATTGGATAGCAACATACAATACAGCAGTGAAAGAGGCCCATGTGAAGTGCTTATATCACACAGCAAGGAAACAGTAGTCTCTGGATTAAACTAGCAGAAGTCAGAAGGGATGTGCAATTGTGCATTCCATTAGAGTCACCCTCAGGGTGCTCCTTTCTTCTGGTGTGGGTGGGCAGGAAGGGCAGGGAGTCCTCATTTTCTCAAGTGACCTCTTCAATTTCTGCCAGGGGTTCTATGGGAAATAGGCTGAGGGGGACTTTCTTCCTCCCTCTCCCCACCCCCATAATTCTGGTAGTTATTCCCTCTCCTCCCCAGTCACCAGTTAGGGCTGCACTGGC